ACAATCATCTAATTGTTGTCTAATTGCCAATAATAGATCAAGAGACAAAAGTATTAAAAAGCTATGTAGCCAGGTCTTTGAACACTATCCCATGATATGAAAACTAAGTATATAAATTTGTGTGGTCTAAATTAATATTAGCTAATAAAAAATTTTGTTATAAAATTTATTTATTATTATAAATAATAAGTTAACTAGCATTAAAATTATCAATTCTAAGCATGCTGCTACAAACAAAATTTTGTTACAAAACTTACTCATTATTCAGGTGAACATAATATAAGATTAAATTTTAGTTTGTATTAGAATATTATAATATTTATTGTAAATTATTGTAAACAATTTTGTTACAAATAAAGATAGATTTAGTCAGCTAGTAATGTAGTTAACTATAGTGAATTAGCTAACTGGCTAGCTGATCAAAAAATTTTATTTCTGCAATGATAAATTATAATTATTGCTTAATTCAGCATGAAGTATACAAAGTATATAGAATTATTTAAGAAATATCTAAGCTAACATGTCATAGCAGTTTTTCAATATTGATTGGCTAAGAGTAATGATTAAAAATCTAGACTTAAAATCTTACTAATAAAATTATAGCTACCTATTAAATGAAAATACATTCCAGAACTAATTTTACCATAGTGTAGGCTTATTTCTCTAAAAATTTTTATTTTTGTAATAAAAAAGTTAAAACTTAATTTTAGCAAAAATTTATGTATCAATTGTATAATAATGCAAGTCAAAATTTATAGACTATGGCAATTAACTAATTAAAATTGAGAATCTGCTATAGAAAAATTTGTGCAACATCTAAGATATTTTTATTGTAAGATAATAAAAAACAGACATACTTTATCTAACAATTGAGCAATTTTTTTGTAAATAATTTAAAAGAATACAGAATTTTAAATCTTGATTTTTACATTATACTATATATAATTACTATAAAATTTGGTATATATTTAGTAAACCTCTTAAGAATGCATCATCTAATTATAGAAACATAGCTATAATTGGGAATGATCAGAGAATTTGTTAACAAAACTAACAATATATTTTTAGTATGTATTTATATAATTTCAAATAAAGTTTATATAGCAATGCATATATCACATCTTATTATGGAATCAAAAGTCCTTGAACTTTAAAATTTTATAAATACAACCTGAATATGATAAAAATTTTTGGGGGCTTTATCAATATCAATTTCGATATCAATATCATATATATTAAATATATCAAGATAGTTTAGATAATAATAATGATAATGATCATGATTTCTATTAAAACTCTTTCCAATAATTAATCTAACCAATTTTTCTAACTAAAGAAAAATAAAAACTCTGTTGGAAAGTTGAGTAGACTACAGTAGCAGTTTATAGTAAAAGAGGTCAACTAACTCAGAGGCTTCTTGCTATGTTCATAATGCAAGCCAGAAGCTTAGTCAAGAGAAAAAGGCAGGTGGCACTCTCAGCAAGCACTATAGATTCTAGTGAAAAAAGTTCTGTTAACGAAGCTCTGTAAACTATAGTTCTAAGAAGATTTTAGTAGTAGTTTTTAGAAGAACAAAGGTCAACCTGGTCTGGGAATTTCTCTATATTCAGTATGCAAGCCAGAAACAACACATACGAAGGAGAAAAAGGCAGGCAGCACTCTTTACTATAGCAAATTTTGGTAGAACTCATGTTCTGTCAATGAAACTACAAAGTCTTTCTTTAGTACCTAGAAGTACAATAAAGTATATATTTTTATTAAGCTATACTCTTTTTACCTGGTCAAGTAGTTTCTTTTTACGCTCTTCACCCTCCTATCAGTCTTTCAAAATTTTTAACAAAAAGTGAAAATTTGGCTTACCTTCTTCAAAAGATTGGTATTGTTTAGTTCCCAAAATCAGACAAATTAATAAAATGCAACTACATGTTAGTTTATGGACAAATATATTGCTTTTTCATGAGACTTAGCCTGGGAACTCTAATTATGGTTGCAGGTGGCTTGAGACTAGAGTTGCAGGTAAAACTAATTTTCAATAGTGCACTAATAGTGCAATAGGTGAAACAGATAAAACTGGTTCACCGATGATAATACTAAAATTATAGATAAAGCTAATCTTCAATAGTGTACTAATAGTGTACAAGGTAAAACTGGTGAAACTAGTGAAACTAATTAGCTTTATCTGCAACTCTACTTGAGACACAGGTTCTTGGACAATAGCAGCATCTAGCTCAAGATATGGATTAGAACAGGCAACAAAGCAATCCAGAGTTAGTGGGAATGTTTGAATGTAAATTTAACTGTTAAAGTAAAGTTTTACAAAAGAGATATACAAATATTAATTTGAAATATAATTTTTATCAGCCTTGCACAGGTTATAATAGTGTCTTCAGGGTTTTAGATTTCTTTTTATATTTTTTCTTTTTTACAATCAGTGTTTTTTTTTCTTTTTTTCTAGTCATTTTTGTTATTTTTTGAAAATTTTCTCCCTTTTGTCTCATGCCTCTTGAGAAAAAGGATGAATTAAAAGAGAAAAAAGAGATTCTGATACAGTATACAACAACCTGTTAAATAATCAAAGAGGTATCCTTTGTTGATTCAAAATCTGAAGCAAGTTTCAGATCCTATTGTAAGACTAATAGTTGTTATAGCAGTTCGCATTGGGCTTTGGCTTGGTGAGTTTCTATTAGAATAAAGCATTATACTATCTTAGGTTGTTATTTGTATAATAATCTTATAAAATAAATAGAAGCAGAATCGCTTAATATATAAAAAAAATAATAATAATAACAATAATAATAAGATAATATAAAATTATTTGATGTAAATTTTTTCTGTTTTAATCTGAAAGAAAATGTAGTAAGTTACAAGTAAATATATAGCCAATAAACAAGATGTTCTAAGTCTAATCTTAATATTATTAGAAATGATAAACAAGCATATTAATAAAAAAATATAGAAATAGTTTAACTATCATTGATAATAAAATTCAAAATAAATCAAATTAATTTAATTGACAATCTACTAGTCAACCAGAGAGTGATTATAGTAAATTGTGCTTAAATCACTTAAAAATTAGAAGTTTTCAAATGTAGTATACACACATCTAAAACTTTTTTATACCAAATTAATCACCTTTCTAACTTAAGAGATTTTTGTAGAGTTTGTTAATATGCATCTAATAGTGGTTAAAGTATCAAAATCAGCCTGATTGGTGCTAAGATATCTTTAAAAATATTTTTTTACTATGTAAACTTATTCGCAAACAATAAATCACTAAATTTTAAAATTTTTTTAGAAATAAATTTGTTACATATCTTATTAGTTTTATTAGTTTATTATTCATATTAATTTAATTGATAAATAATTTTTTATCAAGTTTATTCAGTTATTATTATTTATTAATTAATATATTTAAAATATCTATATATCTATTATTAATTTCTTATTCATATTGATTATAATTTTTATTTTTAAAAATTTATATACAAAATATTAATAATAAATTTTAGTCTATTTGAATACAAAATTGTATAATATATTTGCAAAGCACATCTGCAAAATGCTTTTTCTTCAATTTATTCTTTAATTTAAAATAAAAAAAAGTAAAATTAACTTGTAAATTATATAATATATTTGATAAATTTATTCAGATAATACTATTTGAACACAAATAAGTTTGCGAACTTCAGACCAAACTTCAAACCAAATTGATCTAACAAAATAAGTCAGAACTAAATATAATTTTAAAAAAGTTTGAGTCTAAGTTTGATTTGAAAATCAAACAAACTCAAACTTAAATAAAGTTTGTTTGGTTTGGTCTAATAGAAATACTATATTTTACTATATCTTTACTAAAATTTATTATCAATAGTGCTATATCACTACTATATTAGTTTAGAATTTTTCTATATTTGATAGTGTCGATTAACTATTTTTAGTATAGAATCAATGATTAGATAATTCTAAATATATATTACACAAAGTCTAGCTTATAGTAAAATCACTCAATTAATACAGTATATATATAAATTGTGTTATTTGAAAATAGATCTTGCTAAAGAATAGAAATTGACATTTAGTTTAATTTTTTAAAAATGAACTTTTATATTAATAAATAAATGACTTCATTTAAACTAATTTCAAAGAATAGAAATATAATTTTTCAAAACCTAATTTTCATTTAAAAATAATTAGAAATAAATAAAGGCTTCATTTGATCTTGTAAAAAATAGGAATTAAAATTTTTCACAATTTTTTTAAAACTAAATTTTTATTAAAAATAATTTGAATCTTGTTAAAGAATTGAAATTAAAATTTTTAGAAACAAATTTTTTTATTGAAAAATAATTAGAAATGAATAAAGTCTTTGTTTGACCTTCTAAAGAATAGAATTTGAAATTTTATACAATTTTTAAAACAGAATTTTCATTAAAAAATAATTAAAAACGAATAAAGACTTCATTTGAGCAAAAATGAATTATGCCAAAGATATCATTATTTAGTCTTATTGTAATATATATCAGTCACATTCTTTTATTAAATTATATATTTAATATATCTGTTACTAAATCTCATTATTTCCAAAATCTATAACTTATCAAGAAATAATGATAATAGCTATAATACATTTTTTATACACTTTTTATAGGTTTTTATATAATAATTTTTTAATCAAAATTTCTTTTTTTATATTCTATACAAACATCATAATAAAATAGTACAAACATAAACCTCTGTTTAGAAAATTAACAATTTTAGACCATCGCCAACCCTAACTCTATCCTAACAATATACTTTATTTTAATTTTATTATAATATATATACTAATACTATCAAAAAACTAATCTAACCAATTTTACTGCTAAACCTATTACCAAGATTTACAAGACTCTTATTAGTTGCACTAATAGACAATAGTAAATATATTAGTACAAGAGATCTAAAAAAAAACCAAATTAACAGCAACACTAATATAGTATAAAAGGCATAACAAAAGTAAAATGTTAATACAAATAGTGAAGGCATTAGTAAATACAAAAAATCTTCTAATGGCAATATTGATTAATGATGATACCACAAGTGATGAAACATCAACAACAAAATTATTATTAGGCAATGACAGGTAACAACACCTATAAGAATATTACCTATATGCAACAAAACTTACAATAGTAATATCTATAACAACAATATCTACAAACAAAAGACTAACAAGCAAAAAAAATATCAAAGCATATAAAAAATTAGAATAGTAAAAAAAAAAATTGATACAAATAAAAAATCCTTATCTGTTATATATATATATATTTGTATTAAATACTATAGGTATTGCTATATATCTGTATTAATTAATATTATTAAATCAATATGATAAACAAAATCTTTATTATATCAATAAAACAAAAATAAAAAGTAGCCAAATCTTCTAATTATAGTTACTGTAACTATTCGCTTATTTTAACTATTCAAATTATTTTTGAACTGATTATACTCTTTTAAGTAAAAAAAAATAAAAAGTTTAAATATTAAAATTCTAAAATATAGTGCAATAGTAAATATTTTAAACTGAATTCAAATATTAAATTGATATAAAAAACTTGTGCTTATAAACTAAGTTAATATAAGTAAATAAAATTATAGTAGTAAGCCAGCTCTTTGAATCTGAATTTTTGCCTTGTCAATAAAGGCTATATTAGAATTTGAAAAAAAAGAGGTTAAGGTACTAACTCAATTAAAATGAATATAAATTTCTGTGTTTTTTGAATCTTATTTACCTTTTTTAAAATTGTGGATTATAATAGGAGGTTGGTAGATTATAAATCTAAAGACTTTCTATTTCAAACATATATATTATTTAATCATAAATGGATATAGCAAAACTGCAAAAAATTTAGCTGTAAAAAAATTATTGTAAGCCAATTAAAGCTCAGTAGATTATTCTAAAATAGTCTAGAATTGATTTTTATTTTTGGTAAAATTTCTAACTATATATTGCAGTACTATATTTTTAGAGAATTGTTATTTCTACACCTCTGTTAATGTAGATCATTTTAATTAATTTTAAACTTTAATCAAAGATGTCTTAACATCTACCTAACCAAATTCAATGAACTTTTTTTTTTATTTAAATTGTAAAAAGTAGCAAAATCTAAATAAAAAAAGTTCAACAAATTTGGTTGAATATGTGTCAAGATATTTTTGATCAAAGTTTTAAAAAATTTCAAATATATACTAATTAAAGCTATGCCAAAAAAGTTTTAAAAGATATTTTAAAATTTAATTAAATTTAACAATTTTTTTTATTCCATTTGTAGAAAGTAGCATAATTAAAAGAAAAAAAATTTTATCAAATTTGGTTAGATAGGTGTTGAGATACCTTTAATTATAGTTTAAAAACAATCTTTGGTGCAGCTTATGTTTGATTTTTACAAATCTTTGAATAAAAACATATAGATATTTACCTAACTAAATTTAACAAGTTTTTTTTTATTTAAATTGTAGAAAATGACAGAATTTAAACAAAGAATAAATTTATCAAATTTGATTAGATAGGTATCAAGATATCATTAATCAAAGTTTTAAAACAATTTTTAATATAGCTTTTATTTAGTATATATTTAAAATTTTACAAATATTTGATTGAAAATATCTCAAAATCTATCTAACAAAATTTAATAAACTTTTTTTTTGTTTAAATTGTAGAATACAGTATATCAGAGCTCAAACAAAAAAAAGTTATTAAATTTTGTTAAATAAATGTAGTGTGTTTATTAAACTAATTTATCAAAACATAGTTAGAATTATTAAGTTGAATTTTTTAAAGAGTTATCTTACATTTAAATGTTTATATAAATTTGTACTAATTTAGATACATTTTTCTATACAACTAATAGACAAAATTGTAGTATATGTTTTTTTTAAACTGTAGCTCTAGACTAGCTCTATACTAAAATAAAACCATAATAACTATTAAATAATTAAATAATATTTTACTAAAAGTTATTAAAAAATAGGTTCTATTTTAGTGTAGAGCTATCTAGAGCTACAGTTTAAAAAAATATATATAAATTCATATATGAAATAATTCATTAAAAAATCTGAATATAATAACTCCTAACTATTTGTTAATTAATTAGTTTATTAAATATTCTATAAATATCAAGATATTTTTGATCAAAGTTTAAAAACAATTTTTGGCACAGCTTTATTTGGTATATATTTGAAATTTTTAAAACTTTGATTGAAGATATTTCAACACATACTCAACTAAATTTGATAAACTTTTTTTTTTTTTGGATTTTGCTACTTTTTTGAAATTGAAATAAAAAAACTTCATCAAGGTTGGTTAGGTAGATGTTGAAATATCTTTAATCAAAGTTTAAAAAATTTGCAAATAAATTAAAATAATCTACATTAACTAGATGTAGAAATATCAAAAAAGGGTGTGAAAATATTAATTACCTATCATTATTATAAATTTTTTATAAAATATAGTTAAATATAATAGTAATTGTCCGAAGGACATTATGGGAGAGTCATAGTGACCTGGTGTGTGTGTCCGCAAATTAAGAGGTTTGATTGGTTGATTGATAAAAACAAACATTTACTCCGAAAATACCCATTGTCGGACTGATTCGTGATAAGTCCTTCGGACCTTAAATGGTTTCCATTTACCTAGTATAGTATTCAATAGTAGTAGGCATATTGCTAACGTGTAGTAAATGCATTACTATAGTGACTACAAGTAGCTTTATAGTCATTATATTGTTAATTTAAAGTAGGTTTAAAGTTGCTAATTTGCAAGATTCAATATAATTCAGAACAATAAAAGCAAAATATTTATATTTTTAGACAGTATTTATTTTTTAAAAAAATATAATAATTAAATGCATTATGTTTTTATAAAATGTTTAATAAAATAACTAATATTTAAAAATAATTTATTATAAAATGTTAAAATACTATGAATTAAAAATTTAATAACATATATAATTGAAATTAAAAAAAACTTGTATTAAGAAAAAAATTTCAATTTATATAATATTAAACTACTATGGTATAATATATTTAATTAATATTTAATTATATATTTAAATAATTTATAAATAATAAATAAGCAATAATGATTTTTTAAATTCATTTTTACTAGTAAAAAAGTTAAAGTTAATACTATTATATTTAAATTAAACTTATACAGTCATATCTGATTTATATCACCCTTTTCCGGAGCATTTTTGGTAATATAACTAAAGTGGGAATATAACTCAATATATAACCTATATAAAAAAAGGAAATTTAATCTTCTAAAAAGTGAGAATATAACTCAGGTTGGGATATAACCCAGTGGGAATATAACTCAGGTATGACTGTATTTAAATTAATAATTTTAATATAAATAACTAAAATAATAAAGTATTTCTACTTACCTAAATAAAATTATTTTATATTTATTTTAATTTAATATAATTTTTATATTAAATTTAATCAGATATTATATTGAGCACCTATGGCGTTGTTGGTATTAATACGTTTTTTGCTAAAATTTAGGATTATAGAGTAAGTTAGAGATTAGCTACAATATTTCAAATTTTAGTTAATATAAAATTTTGGGTTCTAAATATTTTTACTTGATATTTCTAATTCTAATTACTCAGTACATAGTATTTATAGTGTTGAACCGTATAGTACACAATAGTAAACTAAATTTAATTAAATAAAAGCAGGTATATAATTAATTAATACTTACTCACTAAAGATTATTTTAATTTATTTGGTTATAAAAATGATAATAATTTTTTGTAAAATTTTATTTTACAAATAAATAAACATATTTAGCTCACAATCTAATAGTCAACATATTCAAATATTAATAATTTTAGTATAAATTATAGTATATAAAGACTTACTTGCTAAATAAAATTTATAAATAATTTATATAAAATTAATTTATTACTGTAATAAATTTTTATTAACCCAATTAATATAGTATAAATGTACTTATACTTACAATCTAGTAATCGATAATATTTTAATTAATCAAAATATTGTATATCAATAACTTGTTAAAATCTATTTTCAAATAAATATACAAAAAGTATAACACTTGCTCGCTAATAATTAATATTTGTTAAAAAAATATTATTGATTTATTATGTATACAATTCTGATTTGTAAACGAAATAAAAGTTGAATTTATACTTACTTCCTTGTAGTTAAATAATTTAAGCAATTCATTGAATAAAATTAATGTTTTGTATGGAAAATATTATTTATAACACCATGTTATATAACACCTTATCTGTTATGTTATACCCCAAAAACGTACTAAGTAAACGGGATTGGGATACTCTAAATAAAAATGTCCAGGACCCCAAAAACATCACAAGAACTGAAATCGGGACTTTATGGGACCTTATATTTAATATACGTTATATTAAAACCTCCTATTCACTTTAAAGCTCCACCATAACCTACCTCTAATTCAGATTATATACCGTATAGACCCGAAATAACGCCCACCTGCGTGTTATTTCAAGTACGCCCATGCGCGTTATTTCGAAATAAGAGATGATTTTCAGAGCCTAAATAATTTCAAATAACGCGCATGTATATCTTGCATAGTGAAACCAGAACTTAACGGTAAAACTTTACTCTGCAGCATTTCATGTATGATTGTGATTGCGATCGCGATTGCCAAAAACTGGTTAATTTATCATAAACCTGAGCTTGACACTCATGACAAATTGGCTGACTGGCTTTAGCAATCGCGATCGCAATTACAATCATTTAAACATAAAAAAATTAATCGAAATTATGCAAACCGCAATAAATATTGTGCGTCATTTATTGATTTTTGTCAATTCGGAATTGACATGTGAATATTTTTAATTGCACAATTTTACGATGGTCTGTCTCTATAAGTGGAACAAAGTGCACTTAAGGAGCAATAAAAAGAACAAGAAGGGAGCATTTATGAATGTTACGAATATATTTGGGTATCATTACTGGTAAAAGGTGCTTATTAAAAGAAAAATTTTTCATAGTCGGGGCAGGGTCGTTAATTCGGTGGCGCGCATGGGCGTTAATTTGAGATCATATATGCTATTTCAAGTGGCCCGGATTTCAAAATAACGTCCCGAGCGTTATTTCGGTAGGTGTTATATAGCATCGTTAAATATTTATTGATAAATAAATATATACTTACAAACTAAAATATATTATTATTTAAATTTGTTGTTAAAAGAATTCTGATTTAGCAAATAAATATTGAATGTTAAATGTATACTTACACACTAATATTAATATTAATATAATTAAAAAAATATTTTAGTAAAATTTTAACTTAAATTAATACTTTCATACTTACCTCCTGGCAGATATAAATTAAACAAATTTAAGCATCGTTACTATGTAAAATCTGATTTATACGTATTATTAAAGATTACACTTACAGACTGTTGGTTTAAAAATTATTTAGCAATGATTAATTATAAATAATTAGCAAACAAATTTGTACTTGTTGTCAGTTTTACTCACATGCTTTAATATTATTTATAGAAATATTGTTAGAATCAATTAAATCCAATTTAACAAATGTATACAAGCAGTCAAAATTTATACTTACATGCTAATAATTTTTGATACAATTATAAATATTTGAATATAATATAATTTAACAGGCAATTATAGGCAGCAAATGTTAACTCACTCCCTAATGGTTGATACAATTAATGCAATTGCTAAAATAGTGTCAATGGCCTTGTTATAAATTTTATACTCACTTACTAATTAATGCAATAATTAAAATATTATTAGTTATAGTTCGTTTTAAATATTGATAAGACCAAACATCCCACACTATTTTCTGAACTTTATGTGATGCAGTTTAGTGTCACAATTAAATTGAGTCTCACTAATTTTAAATTCCGATCTAATTAATATTATTCAGATTTTATACTCACATTCTGATGGTACAATATAATTTATTTATTTAAGTAATAATTCATTATTTAATAAACAATAATTATATGCTATTGAACTTACTTTCTTGATTTAATTATTTAAAACATTATCGAAACGTTATTTAGTTTATAATTAAAAAAATTCTGATTAAGAGCGCTCTCAAGCATTTATCTCAGCGAATTTATAAAGAACCTGGCTGGCCATTTTGATTAGGCAGACCCATCAGATTCTTTGTTAGTCCATTGAGAAAGGTGCTTGAGAACACTCTAAGTAAATGAATTAAAATATTCAAACATACAAACTGGCATATAAATAACTGAAAATCAGTACATTTAATTTAACAATTCAAGATAACTAAAATATACTCACAATCTGGCAATTTATGCAATTTATATAATTTTAAGATAGTAATTAGCGTTAATTATTGTCAAATTCAGTTTATAATTGAATTTGCAATTAAATTTATAATTACTCGCTGATGAGTTATTAAATTATTATTTAGTACTATTCAAGAAGAAATATGATTTATTGAATGAATTTGCATAATAAACTTATACTTACTCGCTATTATGGATTCGGGATTAACAATATACATTAAATACAGAATTACATTAGAATAAACGAGAATAATAATAAAAGAATATACACTCACTTTCTGGTAATTAAATCAATTTATGTAAGTATTAGTATTTAATTGTATGAAATTTATTAGTCACCTCTCACTATTCCGAACCTGGATAAGCTGTATACTTAAATTATATATAGACAAAACTAAAAATTAATTATTTTTCTTATTTTTCTACATAAAATTTCCGAACTATCACTTAATAAGCTGGCTCGGTATAGAGAGATCGGCTTTATATGTGTAATTAGCGCTTATACATACAGACTGGTAGTAGATATTATTTGAAGATATTTAGTAGTAATTAATTATAAAACCATTAATAAAATAGATAATCGAATTTTATTACTATTGCTCCACAAAATTTGAGTTTCAAGTAAATCATCGAAAATATTGACTAAACTCAAATCCTTGTTATGATTTTGAGAAGCACTTTCTATTACTTACTTGCTAGATATTTGGTGCAATTTATTTAGAAATAATATATTTTGAATAATTATTTATATAAAATGCATTTGACATAGATCTTCACACTCACTCACTAGTGATTAATGCAGTTTGCTTTAAAATAATTTATTGTAATTACTATTTACAAAATCATGAATAGATTTTATACTCACTCGCTGGTAATTTTATATAAATTATTTTAGAAATAGCATGTGAACTGTTATTAAAATTGAACTCCATACTTACTTTCTATCAGATATTTGATATTTAATTGCATTATTAGCACGACTGACCTTTTTGCAATTTGAGGACAAATAAATATGCATATAAACGAACTTTATACTCACTCTCTAATAGTTATATTGTTAATTTGCATTAAATCAAATTATTCGAAAATTTTAAATATACACAATTTATTTATACTTACTCACTAGTATTTGATATTATTTGTGTGATTATTTTAAGTATCATATATCAATAATTCACTTAGGTTAAATAAGCATTCAAACTTACTTCCTATAATAATGTAATTACTTAGGCCACAATATTATTTTAGCAAATAAATTTGTGTAATTAATTTTATAGTCACCATCTGGTAATTAATATAATTCATATAAATATTAAAATAAAATTAGGTAGCAATTCATATAGAAATTTACATTTATAATAATTAGTACTTACAAGCTA